GGGGGCGGCAGCTGGGGGGTGTAAGGCATGGAAGGCAAAGTGGACAGCTCTCTAGAAAGTTCTTGAAAGGCATTGGGCCCTCACTGCAGTGAGATCACCTCCAAAACATGCACTTCCCGGGGACAGGGAAGCACAGCCACAGGGCCCTGAACACAGTCCTACACTGCAGTCTCAGGGACAGGCTGAGATACAAGCTTTCCAGCCATCCCAAGCTGTGCCAACTGCACCCTCTTCTGGTCATGAGGTGTCATTGCTAGCTGGCTGCTCAGGATTTTGGACCATAGCGGCAGGAGAAATCTCCTGGCAGCCTCAGGCTCAAGGGCAGCAGGCCGGGTGCATTCATCAGCTCTTGACACTCAGAACCAATGTTCCTGCTCAGGCCTTCTGTTGAAAACCATCAGAGGAACCCAAAGTTTCCTGGACAACTGGGACCCAAGCTGGACAAACATTGAGCTATACACTGGGCTGCCAGGTAGAAACCAGTCCCCACAGGGCTCTAGGTCTACCTCCTGCTATCAGGGGACAGCAGTGGAAGTGGGCAGGTAGGGACCTGAGCACTGCCCACACCTCTCTCTGAGGCTATGCCCTACAGAGAAGGCCCTAGGTCCATGGAAAGCTGCCTCTGCCCCCCGCAGGTCTCTGCTTCTGGCATCTTCCAGGCTGCCCTCTCCCTCCATGGTCCTACAGAGGTGACTCCTCACTCCCTCCAGGTGCCTGCAACCACACCTACCCTTGTAACACTGCACTAGCCCAGGACTCAGCTAGCTTTGGACACACAGCACACAGGCCCTGCCCAAGGGCACAAAGCTGTTGGAGATGGAGCTGACTCTGAACCAGGCCACCCTCACCCCAGTCCACGTCCGTGCCACATTTCTGGGGGCAGAGCTGCCACCACCTGTATGCTAAGAGGCAAATCCTGGCTTGCATCCAGGATTCACATACAACAGAATGGCTGCCATGCTCAAGCTACAGACACCCCACCGGCAGATGCTAGGAGCAGAGAGGCTAGATGTGAAAAACCCAGCAGATACATTAGACAGGGTGGGTCCAGAACTCTGAGGAAAGGAGAGAAACAGTCAACACTTTCTAGGCACCATGGGACACCAGGTCTGCGCCAGGTGCTTTTTCCAGAGGACTCCAGTGTGATTACGCTTTTCACAGATGAGCTGGTAGATTCACAAGGACAGCTGGACCAGCCACCAGCTACCCTGCAGAGAGCAGACTTAAGGCCATGTTCTTTGCAAGCAGCTGCAGTTCAGTTAGTTTAGAGTCCCTCAATGGATGGAGCCCCTCCATAAATAATTTGCCCCCCTGCCCCGTTTCTTATCTGTGCTACCAGGCTAAGCTGCTCAAACTTTACTTTGCAAGCCATAAGTTCAAGTTTGTACTTAAAGATTGTAAGACAGCGTTTCTTGAAAACAAATATTCAATCCCATCAAATTCAATAGAACATTTCCCTACTTGCCTTCCCTTCCTCTCCCCAAGCCAGATTATCAAAACCAGGCACTGGTGACTCATGCCTATAATCCCACCTACTCAGGAGACTGAGATCTGAGAATCCTGGTTCAAAGCCATCCCAGACAAGAAAGTCCATGAGTCTCATATCTTCAATTAAGCAGCAAAAGAGCCAGAAGTGGAGTGTGGATCAAGTGGTAGAGTGCTAGTCTTAAGCACAAAAGCTCAAAAACAGTACCCAGGCCCTGAGTTCAAGGCTCGGTAACAGCGCAAAAAAAAAAAATTGTGGAGAAGGGAAACTTGAATACTGATTATTCCTCATAGTATTCAAGGTGATGCACAGTGTATCATAACATCTGATCAAAAGATTACAAAGAACTAACAGTGCTGCCAGCACATTCTTCAGTAGGGTTATGAGCTTTGCAGCCAAACCAAGGATGCTTGCTTCTAAGGATCCATCATAAACAAAGACCAGGAACAAGTCAATGAGGAAAACTGAAATAGCCCCATGTTTATTGCAATATTATTTACAGTGTGGGCTATTAAGAACTACTTAAGCCAGGCACTGGTGGTTCATACTTATAATCCTAGCTTCTCCAGAGGCTAAGATGTGAGGATTGCAATTGGAAGCCAGTCTAGGCAGAAAAGTCTGTGAGACTCTTATCTTCAATTAACCACCAAGAAGCTGGAAGTGGAGCTGTGGCTCAGATGGCAGAGTACTAGCCTTGAGAAAAAAGCTCAGGGACAATGCCCAGGTCCTAAGTTCAAGCCCCCAAAACTAGTGAATAAATTTTGGTATAACCAAACCATAAAATAATATAATAGCATTATACAATAAAGTAAGATATCACCTGGCCATGCCATAATTGAACACTCTGGTGCTCCAGGCAAGGCAACAGCAAGGAAGTGTTAGAGAAGGAGGGACTAACCATCCAGGGCTGACCACAGAGGACCTCTCAGGAATGCAACAAAGAATTACAGAAATTTCCAGAAAGAAATGCCCAGCCTAGCCTGGCACTAGTGGCTCAGGCCTGTAATCCTAGCTACTCAAGAAGCTGAAATCTGAGGCTGACAGTTCAAAGCCAGTCCAGGTAAGTCTGTGCCTCTCCTATTTCCAATTAACCACCAGAATACCCAAAGTGAAGTTGTGGCTCAACGCGGTAGAGCGCTAGATTTGAACAAAAAAGCTCAGGGACAGTGCACAGGCCCTGAGTTCAAGTTCCTTGACTGAGCAGAAAGAGAGACAGGGACAGAGACAGAGAGAGAGACAGGGACAGAGACAGAGAGAGAAATGTCCAGCCTGTGATCAGCCAAGCCAGGTACCAATGGCTCACCTCTGTAATCCTAGTTATTCAGGAAGCTGAGATCAGAGGATTGTAGTTCAGAGCCAGTTGGGGCAAGAAAGTCCATGAGATTCTTATCTCTAATTAATCACCAATAAGCCAGTGGTGTAGCTATGGCTCAAGTGGTAGAGCACTAGCCTTAAGCAAAAAAGCTAAATAAGTTTCAAAGCCTTGAGTTCAAGCCCTAGTATCAGCACACACACACACACACACAACACACACACATACACACGAAGTTGTCCCCAGACAATCTGAGGACAAATGCTGTCACTCTGGTCTTACCTTGAAGGTCTTATCCATAGACGTGGACAGAAGCATGTGACTCTTTGAAAAGACTGGACACCATTGGATGCTGTTGACAGGCCCTCCATGGCCTCGAAGGTGGAAGAGCACTTTCCTGGGGACCTTGGTTTCCCTGAACTGACTTTTCAAATGTGGCTGGATGGCCTCAGACACCACGGGGGGCATGCGGAGAGGGGCTGGAGCACGATCTGCAGGCGGCCCCTGTGGCTCGGGGTCAGGAGTCCTGAGTGTCTCGGAGCTCAGTGCCTGGAGCTGCCTCAGTCTCTTTGGGGTATAAGGAACCACACAGTCCTCTCCCCTTTTCCTTTGGAGAGAGCTGGCATGTCTATGAGTGGTTTCAGACATGCTTTGAGCGTGGGAAGGGGCGTTGGGGGCGGCCCAGAGGGGCTTCACTTGCTTCAGGCAGGCAGCTGCCCAGGGCACGTGGCTCGCAGGAGCATGGCTGGTCCACAGGGAGGAAGGGTGAGGAAGCGCGCCGGAGGGGCACGGCACTTCAGGCTCCTTCCTGGGCCACTGCAGCCTCTGGCTGGGACAAGATCCCGGGTCATTTTTCCAGAGCCGAACCAGCGGGAGACGCTCTCCCCTGAGCTCTTCACCAGGGCTGTGCTGGGCGAGCGGTGCTCCCTCGTTGGTTATGTCCGCTGCACAAGGTGAAAAGCCCTGCCCAGAAGGTCTGTCCACACCAGAAACATCCGTCATTCGGTCGGCGTCGTTCCCACCTCCGGCAGGCTGGGGCTCAGCCTCTGAGTCAGAATCGTCATATGCCACCAGCGAGGCCATTGGGCCACAAGTCCGATCATCCAAGGAAGGCAAACTACCTAAGGAAACAAGGCCAGCACTCAGCAACTGTGCATGGGAGAATACTTACACAGTATTTTAAAATATATCTATTAAAAGAACAAGCTGGGCACTGGTGGCTCACGCCTATAATCCTAGCTACTCAGGAGGCTGAGATTTGAAGATCAAGGTTCAAAGCCAGCCGGGGCAGGAAAGGCTGTAAGACTCTTATCTCCAATTAACCACCAGAAAACCAGAAGTAGTGCTATGGCTCAAGTGGTAGAGCACTAGCCTTGAGCTGAAAAGCTTAGGGACAGCACCCAGGCCCAGAGTTCAAGCCCCATGACTGACAAAAACAAACAACAACAAAAACTCATCTGGAAATTTCAAGACCAAACTCAAAAGAAAAACACAAAAAAGGGCTTTAAAAAAGAAGCTGAAAGAAAAGATTCTGAATATTTTCAACACCTCTTCAGAGATGGTAAATTTTTAAGGAGGTAAGACTGTTTAGCTTGATTTAAACATTATATAACATAGAAATTTTTAAATAATTCAAAATATAAAGACTTTCCTATACAACAGGCACAATTGCTTAGAAAATATCTTTGTAGCCAGGCGCCAGTGGCTCATGCCTGTCATTCTAGCTACTCAGGAGGCTGAGATCTGAGAATCACGGTTCAAAGCCAGCCCAGGCAGGAAAGTCCGTGAGACTCTTATGTCCAATAAACCACTCAGAAAATCCGAAGTGGCACTGTGGCTCAAGAAATAGAGCCCTAGCCTTGAGCTGAAGAGCTCAGGGACAGCACCCAAGCCCAGAGTTCAACCCCCACAACCGATTAAAAAAAAAAAAAGGAAAGAAAGAAAGAAAATGTCTTTGTGTGTGTGTGTGTGTGTGTGTGTGTGTGTGTGTGTGTGTGTGTGTGTGTGTGTGTGTGTGTCGTGTGTTGTGTGTGTCCATACTAGGGCTTGAACTGAGGACCTTGTACTCTTGCTTTTTCTGCTCAAGGCTGGCATTCTACCACTTGAGCTATACTTCCACTTCCAGCTTTTGCTAATTAATTGGAAATAAGTCTCTTTGGATTTAATCTGTCCAGGCCTGCTTTGAACTGGGATCCTCAGAGCTATCTAGGAATATAGATGTAAGCTACCAATGTCCAGCAGAAGACATAACTTTTTAAATGAAGATGACTTCAAAGTGCCAATGGTTCACACACCTGTAATCCTAGCAACTCAGGAGGCTAGGATTTGGAGACATGGCTCAAGTGGTAAAGGGCCATCTGAACAAGAAAGCCAAGTGAGCATGAGGTCATGAGTTCAAACCCCACTACCATCAACACAGGGAAAAAAAAGAAGACTAATAGACACTAGGGAATAGATCTTAAAAAGAAAAAAGAAATTGAGGCCTTCATAAAGAAAATAAGATGTGCTGAAAGACAGAAAAAAAGACCTAACTAGGAATGGGGCATGACTCAAATTATAGACCACCTGACCAGCAAGAGCAAGGCCCCCAGTTCGTTTCAATAACACACACACACACCCCTAAGTGGTGACAAAGTGCCTAGATAGTCTGGAGGAAGGGTGACAAAGCTGTCTGTGGGAGGCAGTGTGTATACAACTTTAAACACGCAGTGTCTTACTAGCCATGTCACCCTGTGACTGTCTCTTATACAAATACCAGTATGTTGGACAGATGTATACATGGATACAATAAACATCTAATGAAAGCTTGTAGCACTGATTTTAGCAGCTATAATCCTAGTTACTCGGGATACTGAGATCTGAGAATCATGTTCAAAGACAGTCTGGGCTTCACCTCCAATTAACCACCAAAAAGCCAGAAGTAGAGCTGTGGCTCAAGTGGTAGATCGCCAGCCTTGAGCAAAAAAAAGCTAAGCAACAGCACCCAGGCCCTGAGTTCAAGCCACAGTAGGAGCAGAAAAAAAAAAAAAAGTGGCAAGCCACCAAGTGGGAGAATGTAGCACCCTCCTCATCCTTACCTGCCTTGAATGCTAGTCTTTCCCTCTGTTCCCTGCTTGGAAGAGATATTCCATCTCTGCCAGAAGCCAGTGGGAGACATAGACCCACAACACAAGGCTGACAGAGGTCAGGTATTCAGGCACCGGACACTCAAGCACAGCTGGAGCAATTCTGATGGTGTGATCCAAATTTACCCACGTTGCCCCAAATGCACAGATTCACACTGCATTAAAGGTTCTCTTTAAACAAAACAAAACAAAAGGAAAGAAAAATTCTTTCTGCAATTCTGAACCATCATACATTGTTAGCAATTGTTAGCAGCTAGTTCTCAGTGTGCTATTAGAAGAAGGGGGGGGAGGAAGGGGGGGATGGATATGTTGGGCATGCTTCAGCCAGCAGAGGGCATAGCAGATCAACACTCTAAGCCCAGTCCATGGACCAAAGTAGGCTCAGGTTGACGTCAAACTCCCAATCTTACCTCTTAGCTCCCAAGTGCTAGTATTATAGAATACCAGTGTGCCTGGCTAAATGCTAAGTTTCAATGTCCTCTAGAATAAACCACTCAGCCCTTCCACAGCTTTCCCCAAAATGGCACTATTTGCCTAAGGAGCTTCTCATTCAAGTCAGGTCACATTCAATAAATATCTGCATTTCGTTGCTCAACAATGCCACTACTGCTAGTAGCCTAATCCAGACATGTAATAATGACCACATGCAAACTCATCACAATAATATTTCAAAGACCAGCCAACCCCTCTCAAATGGACCTAATATAATACAGTGGACTGATTATAGACAAGATTACTCTCTGTGGATGACTTGATCTCTAAATACTCAGCTGGGACTTGAAGCCAGTCTCAGCTCCTGGTCCAGGCATGCCCACCATAGCATGTGACTCCTTCCTGTCTAAGGGAACCACTGGGCTGCTGTGCTCAGCATAGGAATGGCTTCCCACTCATGCAGTTGTCATAGTGATCGACTCATATGAGAAGCCTATAGCGGAAGACCAGACAGCAGTGTGGCCCAGTAGCCCCACCTTAGGACAGGACACGTGGTCACTCCATTGCACATTTCCTCACTCATCCAACAAGCATAGATGGTGCACTGACTCCTCACTGAGCCCCACCAGGAGGCACCAAGAACACTGACACAGTAAATGACACCTACACTGAAGGAAGGGCAGACCCCAGATATGCAAGCTGGAGGATCTCAGGAAGCAAAACAACAGTGATGAACCTGACCCCCGGCTGCAGTTCCTCAGAAGCTGAGAAGATAACACCTGGGTGATGTCCAGTGCTGACAATGTAATAGAACCAAGGAGAAGAGTCAAGGCTCACTCAAGAAAACAGACAGACAGCAGGATGCCTGCAGTCCTAGTACTCAGGAGGCTGAGTTCTGAGGCCCCAGGTTCAAAATTAGCCCTGGCAGGAAAGTCTATGAGAGTCTTATCTCCAATTAACCACCAAAAAAAAAAAAAAAGTGGATCTGTGGATCAAGTTGTACAGTGCAGCAGGTCTTAACCAAAAACACTCAGGGACAGCTCCCAGACCCAGAGTTCAATTCCTAAGACCAGAAAAACAAACAAACAAACAAACAACAACAACAACAAAAAGCCAGGTGCCAGTGGCTAATGCCTATAACCCTAGCTATTCCAAGGCTGAGATCTCAGGGACAGAAACAGCACCAGACTGATTTCAAGCTCCAGGTCCAGCAAAAATTAAAAAGAGAAAGAAAATACAGCTCACCCCTGTAATCTTAGCTGATCAGGAGGATGAGACCTGAGGATGGCGGTTCAAAGCCAACCAGAGCAGGGAAAATATGTGAGTCTCTTATCTCCAGTTAAGCACCCAAAAGAGCTCAGGGACTGCACCCAGGCACTGAGTTTAAGCCTCAGGACTGGCACAAACAAAAAGGGGGTGACATTTTTTTTTCATGGAAAAGGGGGCGTGGCTCAACCAAGAAGGAGGAACAGATGCGGGAAAGGTACCAGGCGGGGGGGGGGGGGGAGGCAAGCGCCTCCACGAGGGAAGGAGATTCTATGTTTTGTTCTCTGTTCGAGGATCCCCGAGTCCACTGTGGAATTCAACCTGCTGGGAGGGGATGAACTAGGACACTCCCATTTAACCAATATTTTCTGACTACCTACTCGGTGTCAGACCCTTAAGTGGGCCTGGTGTGGGTAGGAATTAAGCAAAAATCACGAATCCTGCCCCCGAGGGACCACAGAATGAGTTTAAAAAATCAACAAATAAGACACCAGCCAGAGATGGGTTTTGAAGGATGAGTAGAAGTTAACCGCGCGGCGAACCGTAAGGGGTACGGATGGCAGAGACGACCGCGCTTTCAGAAGGAACCGGGAAGGAAAAGGGAGCGAACCGCTACGGAAGACCCACGCAGGGCAGCGTGGGGCGCTCCGGCCGCCGCCCGGTCCCCGCGCCCTCCCGCCCGGGGCCCGCCGCTCACCACACGCGCCGGAAGCGCCCGGTTCTCCCTGAGGCGTCCGGGCCTGCCCTCCACCGCCCAGTCGCCTTCCGCCGCGACGCCGGGCTCACCAACCAATCAGCGGCGGGACCCTCCCCGCCCCCGGCACGAACAGCCAATGATAGTGCGCCGGGGCCGGAAGTGGTTCCGGCCGGACGGCGTTTCCACGGACGCTCAGCAGGCGTCCCGTGGGTGAGCCGGCCGCGGTGACAGGCCCGGTGGGGCCGGGTAAGTAAAGGGAGGGCGGCCCGGACGGGGAGGAGGGGAGAGGGGAGGGCGGCCGGGGCGGGGAGGAAAGGAAGGGGGAGGCAGGACGGCGCCACGGGCCCGGCCCTCCCGGGGCCGCCTGCGCTCGGAGACCGACGCCCCTCTGAGAGCCGCCCGCTGTGCCCGGGCTGCGGCCCGGCGCGGGGCGCGGAGGCTGGCGCGGCCTACCTCGCCCGCTCCTAGCAGCGTGGCTGAGGGTCCACGTCCCGCGCCGACGCCCCGACCCCTCGTGCCTCACCCCTGCCTCCCCCGACCGCACTTCGTGTTCCCTGGCGCCGGCTGGGGGCCGGGGACCCTGGGGCCCGGGGCCGGGGCGCTGCTGGTGGAAGGGTGGCCGTCGTGTCTCCAGAGTCTCGTTGCACCCATTTCCCAGGTGCGGAAACGGAGGGAGGAGCAGAGGTGTGAGGGACTCTCCATCCATTCCAGTCAGTTTCGATCCCAGGCTGGGTTGAAACCCCAGGTCTCTCTAGCCTGGGCTTCCAGAGCTTTCCACTGCCCTGCGAGCCTCCCCAGAACACCAGCAGGCGCGGGGCTTTCCTCTGCCTGCGCCCCGTCCCGTGACCGCACCTCAACAGTTTCCAGTGATGCTGCGGGGTGGGGAGCAGGACCAGGGCAGGCCAGTCATGTGGCTGCTGCGGGCCTGGGTGAGGGAGTGGCTGATGCAATGGCTCGTAGCTGTTTCCTTGAGGGTGTCACTGACCTCTCCATCTCCCCCCTCTCTCCCCCCCTCCGCCAACCTGCCCTTTTTTGGACAAGGCTCATTAAGAAGGTTGCTCCAAGGGCTGAGATGTTTCTGAGAATCTAGTGATTTCCCAGAAACAACTGTCTGTGCAAGTAGCTGAAGGGGTGGGGTGAGGTAGGCAAGGAAGAGGAGCATTTCTGGAAAAGGAAAGCGAAAGAACGCTGGGAGGAGTATTAAAGACCACCCCTGGCTAGGCTGGCCATTCTCAGCTGCTCATCTGCCCCGTGTATCTTGTGGCCACCTTCTCTGTGTCTCCCACAACCAGGGTATGTATTGACAACTCTACCAGGCTTTCAGCTGCTTTTTAGTTCTTTTCATGCTTAAAAAAAAAAATCAAAGTGTTGGAAATCTCAGGATAAGGGATTGTCTTTCTTAGTTTTTGAGTGTCGTGCATTTTATTTATCTTGCTTCCATAAAAAATGGAGGGTGGGGGCTTGGTACCGAGTGTGCCTTTCACCACCTTCCTGTTTGATTTTTCTTTCACTAATTCAGTCCCTTTAGTCAAAATATAAACACATTGACATTTTTATTATGCCCCCAAGTAACTAATGCTTGGCTTTTTATAAGTTCTTTTTAACATGGTGTTCATGGAGCTACGGGTGTAGTTTGTAAAGTGCTAGCTTACCATGTGCTAGACCCTGGTACAATCCCCAATACCACACACACGCACACATACACAATTTAATTATCAGAAGAAAGAAATAAACTTTTCATAAACAGAGTTTAATCTTTTTTTTTTTTTGTCGGTTGTGGGCCTTGAACTCTGGGCCTGGGCCTGGGCACTGTCCCTGAGCTCTTCAGCTCAAGGCTAGCGCTCTACCACTTGAGCCACCGAGCCAAAGTTTGGAACAGATTGCTTGCTCAGAAGAGATCATTTTCTTTTTCCCTGGAAACTTGTGCATCCCAAAGCTATTGTGTGAGACCACCACAATCCCACCTGCTGGTGAGATTCCAGGCATCCAGAAAAACTTTGCTGGGCCTCCAGAGCTGTTCCAGAACTTTTTATTTTAGTTTCTTGCAGATTGTGTGTGTGTGTGTGTGTGTGTGTGTGTGTATGTACATACATGTGTACGTCCTCATTTGACTTTTTTTGCTCAAAGCTAGTGCTTTACCACTTGAGCCACACTTCTCCATCCAGCTTTTTTGCTGGTTAATTGGGAATAAGTCTTTCAACTATGTCTGCCAGGGCTAGCTTGGAAATGGGATCCTCAGATCTCAGCCTTCTGAGTAGCTAGTGTTAAAGCCTGAACCACAGACACCTGGCTTCAGAATTGACTGTTCTGATGCCAGCTTTCCCTAGATTTCAAACTCAGTGTGTCTTGTCTATGATGGTTTTGCTACAGCCAGCCCTTCTGTTCCTTCGAGTACTGGATCCACTTTCTGTAAATGCCTGTTTTACCCATGTAGAACAAAGACATCTTTCTAAAAGAACATAAGATTCAAGTGCCAGAAAAGGGGAATTGGAATGTAAGAAACCGTGTCACTTTCTTGTCAGAGGTCTGTTAAAGAGTAGCTAGCTTGGGGTTGGGAAGGTGGCTCAGTGGTAGAGTGCTTGCCTTGCATGCATGAGGCCCTGGGTTCGATTCCTTAGCACCGCATAAGTAGAAAAAGCCAGAAGTGGCGCTGTGGATCAAATGGTGGAGTGCTAGCCTTGAGCTGAAGAGCTGAGGGACAGCGCCCAGGCCCAGAGTTCAGGGCCCAGGACCGGCAAAAAAAAAAAGTAGGCAGCTGGGCTGTTTATACTCCCAGTGCCTTGGTTTAGAGGAAATATAGATCATAGTTATAATATTATCTCCTTTGAGATTGTATCAGTTATATAAAGTAGATAGACCTTCCTTAACTAAAACTCAACTCTCCATTTGGAGTTTATGTGGTAAACCCTTAAGACAATGGTCCGTAACGTTTTGACATCTCAGACTCTTTTGAAAGGGTAAAGAAAATGTAGGTACTCTGCTTTAAAAAAAGGGATATCCAGCTCACATGCAAACTGGGATGTCATTTGAGAAGTCTGGACTTCAAGCTGGAAATCTCTGATGTTAAACTATTCAGGTTTTAACTTTTTTTTTTTTTTTGAAAATAAAGTAAAGGAGACAGAAGAAATAGAATAGAAATGAAGTCAATGACCAGAGCAAGTTTATTCAGGACAAACCTGAAAGGAACCCTTTCTACTGTAGTAGAGAGAAGAGTTCCTCTCTTGCAGCCTCAGGATGTATAAGGGAAAAAATGCAGGACAACACTGGGGCAGGAGCTGAATTTTGCAATTTGACTGTAGGGGCAGGAAACTCAGATTAAGAGAGATTCAGTTGAGCAAGACATAATGGCCAAATGTCATTCTTTCTGGAGAAATGGTGTTAGACCAGTCCTGTTCGTTTTTACCTTTCAGAATTAACTAGACACGAGCTACCAAGTAAAGGTAGACATCAACTTACTTGTGAGAAAGAAAGCTGTTCATGCAATAAATAGGTAGATGAAAGCATGAAGTGAGGGAGGTAGTACTGCTCCCACTCATGCAGTGAGTATGCTCTGATCATCGGAGCAAGAAGATCTCACCTGCTGTTCCTTCCCTCTCATTTAGTTCCCCTTGTGCCTCTTTTGAAGTGGAATTATAATATTTAAAGGTACATGTACTTCCATGCAGCATAGAGCCTGAATGCACACTCAGGTCCTCTAGCTGATTCTTTCCCAAAGAAACAGCAGTTTGGTTGCAGGAAAGGAGACTGGCTGTCCTAGAATGACTCCATTTTTCTACTGACATTTCCTAGGAATTTTGTAAGATAATTTTGATGAATACATAACTTGGATCCTACTATGTACCAGGTACCACAAATACATGGAAGAATAAACCTGGTATAGCTTTCATGGCCTACTAAAAAAGACAGGAGTAACTAAAAGCAGCATGAGCACCTTAAGAAAGCAAATAAATGAAGGAAATGCTTCGACTTGTTCCCAGAGCTACAGAATTCAGGAAAGGAAGTGTGAGCCAGACACCAATGGCTCATACCTGTAATTCTAGCTACTCTGAAAGCCAAGATCTGATGGTCAAAGTTCAAAACCCTGGACAGGAATGTCCCTAAGATTCTTATCTCCCATTAACTACCAAAAAGCCACAGTGGAACTATGACTCAAGTGGTAGATCATCAGCCTTGAGCAAAAAAGCTAAAAGAGCCCAAGCCCTGAGTTCAAATCTCAGTACTGTCACAAAAAGGCGGGAGGGAGGAAAAGAGAGGAAAGAAGGAAGAAAGGAAAGAAAGAAGGGAGGGAGGGAGGGAAGGAAAGGGAAAGAAAAAAGTTGAGTTCTATCCAGACAAAAGGAGGGTAAAACTTTGTGCACCGAAGAGCAACTGGAATTCTGAAAGCCTGTAACCCAAGAGGGGCTTTAGCATTTGCTCTCTAGTACTGGTGCTCAGAAAGGTAGCCTGACTTCCCTGAACCATCAGCCTCCTGTCTGCTATGGAAAACACATAACAGTCACCCCTGACTCTGAAGTGAAGAAACTTGGCATGGAGTATAGTATATGGGTGTGATGTTGGATCATTTGTGAGTAGAAGTAGTTTGAATTACTTTCTTTGTCATCTGATCAGAGCAGATCTCAGAGAGAAAGGAGTAATGGCTAATTCCATCAGCTTATTGCTAGGGTCAGATGGGAACCTGTGTTGTTCCTCTTCTGTGGCACTAAGAGAAAGGTACTTCCTCCTTTTTTTTTTTTTTTGCCCATCCTGGGTCTTGAACTCCAGGCCTGGGTACTGTCACGCATTTTTATGCTAAAGGCTTGTGCTTTGAGCCACAGTGCCATTTCCAGCTTTTTGGTAGTTAATTGAAGCTAAAAAGTCTCATGAACTTTCTGCTGAAGTTGGCTTTGAACTGCAATCCTCATATCTCAGCCTCCTGTGCCCAACTCTATGTCTAATGGGCCACTCTAGGCTGAGAACACCTTATTACACCAGTCAGTTATCTCTCTATACCTCTTTTTCCCAGGGCTATAATTCTCTGCAATTAAGAAAAGAAATTAGCCTTTCCTATCCTAGTATCATACTGCGATTTAATGATTTATTGGAAGGTGGATGTCATTAACATTCACACACCTCTTAAACAAATACTGAATAAGTGGATAAATTACATCTCACATTTGGGTGCTGGGCTCCAAGAATTAAGGAGTTTTTAGACACAGGTTAAAAGTCAGACTACTTGAATTGGTGGCCCATCTCCCCACTTGCTTGTGTTGAGCAAGCTTTCTAACCCTCTGTGCTTCAGCTATGAAGCAGAAACAACAAATGTATTGCTCACACAGAATCTGGTAAGGCTCAAGGGGATTGGTGTATGCTTATGTTACCACTGAGTGGGAGTGGTCTGAATGATAAAGATCCCACCCAGATTGTTAGTAGCATTTTCAATCAAGAATTGCCTGAAGACACACACAAATGTAAAGTGTAAAAGCAAGGAGCTTAGTACCATTAAGAGAAGTAGTGGGCTTTAGCTAGGTGTCTCAAGAGCTAGGTCAAAGGAGAGAGACTGAGACAGATGCACCGACAGGCATTTCCGTCTCCACGGGCAGGGAGTGGGAGTTAAAAGACTCAAGCCGGCAGCTGTTACCTGCGCCTTTGTTCTTCCTGAGCCATTGCGAAGAGTTGCCAAGTTCTTACCATTTCAAAGGAGAAGCAGTTTTAGATAGCTACTCCCTCTTATTTCTCTCTGCCTTCTAGCTTAGCATCTAAATGGGAGGACACCTAACTGCACTGTTTCAGCTTCTGAGACCGGACCTTTTTATCTTTATTAAAAATAATATAAGGGGGCTAGGAAGGTGGCTCAGTGGTAGAGCGCTTGCCTTGCATGCATGAGGCCCTGGGTTCGATTCCTCAGCACCACATAAGCAAAAAAGAAAAAAAGCCAGAAGTGGCGCTGTGGCTCAAGTGGTAGAGCCCTAGCCTTGAGCTAAAGAGCTGAGGGACAGCACCCAGGCCCAGAGTTCAGGCCCCTGACTGGACCAAAAAAAAAAATCTAAAGTAAAGTTCCCAAATGTTGGTCCATTTTGGGAAGCTAACAGTGGTACTTTTGTCCATTTAATATTAACTGAATAACATTGAGCAAATGTTTTTAGTTAGAAATTCTTCTTTTGGCAGTACTGTTCCATTGTTTGAGTCATGCCTCCAGTCATGCCTCCTTTTGCTCTAGCTTTTTCTGTTGAGATGGGGTTTCAACAACTTTTTTTTTTTAATCAGTCATGGGGCTTGAACTCTGGGTGTGGGCACTCTCCCTCAGCTCTTCACCTCAAGGCAAGCGCTCTACCACTTGAGCCACAGTGCCACTTCCCATTTTTTGGTGGTTAATTGGAGATCAGAGTCTCACAGACTTTCCTGCATGGGCTGGCTTTGAACTGTGATCCTCAGATCCTCCTGAGTAACTAGGATTACAGGTGTGAGCAGCTGGCACCCAGCTCACCAACCTTTCTGCTGGGGCTGGAAGGCTTGAATCTTCCCAGTCACAACCTCCTGAGTAGCTAAAATTATGGATGAGCCACTAGCACTCTGATTAGTTAGTACTTCTTTACAATGATAACTATATTCATGGTGTTAGTCAAGGAACAGTTGCTTTCTGGATTTACCAGATAGCTTGGAATAGGAGGGGGAGCGACAGTGGCACAGGTGTAAATAGTATACATAGCAGAAGTGACACTGGCTTATGGGTGGAGACACCATCCCTATGCAGAAGCACAGCAGTCACCTGCAGCCCCTAGAAGCCAGCCTCACACCCTGTCAGCCTCAGCCCTGATTTAATTGGAAAATAATCTTGTTCAGAACTCCAACTTTTCCTGGTCCATGTTAGATTGAAAACCAAACAAGGCCAGTCTGTTTATCTATCCCAGTCCTCTTCCTGATTACAGCTGGTCCTTGAGCAGGGGGACATTGGTTAAACATTGACCTTTACAGGGCCTCCTAGTTGCAAGCAGAATTAGACAGATAGAGTATGATCTGTCAACACAGCTAGTGATGGAAAGATATTGACTTCTAGGTACTTCAAAGCAAAGCTAGTTTTCCCATAGATCATTCAATAGATTACAAGTGTGATCTATTGTATCTTGCTTAACATTTATTTTATTGCAAACACTGAGTCTAGGCACTGCGGAAACAAGATGAATAGAGTATACCTGTCTAACATATAAAAACATCATCTCAAAATATATTGTATCCTTGGGGTTATTGATTGCAAGTCAAACTTTTTTTTTTTGGCTGTAATGAGATTTGAACTCAGGGCCTCATGCTTGCTTGCTAGGTGGTGTTTTACCACTTGAGCCATGACGCTATCCTTGCTTTTCAATGGTTATTTTGGAGATAGAATCTAGCAAAATTTTCTGCACAGGCTAGCCTTAAACTGCAGTCCCTCAGATCTCAGCATCCTTAGTGGTTAGGAGTACAGTTGTGAGCTACAAGCTCCTGGCTTAAATTCATTCTGATGGCTAGTCCCAGAAATTTTACTATTTGAAGCACAGATAACCCAGAAGCACAGATCTCTGTGGCCCAGTGCTGTGCCTGATGGAACACTTCTCTGAATAAGGTTGGTGGTGTTGAAGTCTCCCCTGGAAAGCCCAGGCTATGGTTCATTCTCTAAACTCTTAAGTAGGAAAATGTTTATACTTCCCTTGACAAGCAAATTGCACTGTGTATATTTGAGATCTAATCTAGCAAGTCCAATTATCAGACTGCAGCTTCAGGGTATAGCCTGACTAATCAGTTAATTAGGCCTGCTCTTTTAAGCACCAAGCTTCTGGGTTGGCTGAAGTGTGTGTCTTTAATAGATTTCAGGAGAACCAAAGCATATATTTTATATTTATTGTGTTTATTTTAAAACAATTAAAATGCTAATATTTGAGATAAGCCAGGTGCCAGTATGCCTGTAATCCTATTTATTCTAGAGGCTGAAATCTGAGGATCACAGTTCAAAGCCAGCCCAGACAGAAAAGTCTCTGAGACTCTATCGCCAAGTAACCACCAGAATCCCAGAAGGAGAGCTGTGGTCCATGTGGTAGGATGCCAATTTTGAGCAGAAAGGGCTGAGACAGCATTCAGGACCTGAGTTCAAGCCCCTGTGTGCGCACAAGCGCACCCACACACTCACACACCTATTGAGATAGCTTGGTGTGACTGTGTCTCACTGGGTCACTCTTGGGGCCTCCACCTTCCCCTTGCCTTCATTTGGATTTTGTTGTTACTTGTTTTTTTTTTTTTTTATTTTTAAGTTTCTATAGATATTAGCCCAACCTTTGTGAGATTAAAAAAAGACAACAGCCAGATGCTGGTGTCTCACAACTATAATCCTAGCTACTCAGGATGCAGAGCTCTGAGGATTGTGGTTCAAAGCCAACCTGGGCAGGAAAATCCATGAGACTATAATCTCCAATTAACCACCAGAAACTGGAAGTGGTGCTTGTGGTTCAAAGTGATAGAGTGCTAGCCCTGAGCAAAAAGAGTTTAGGGACTGTACCTAGGCTCTCAGTTCAAGCTCCACAACCAACCAAAAAAAAAAAAAAAAAAAACAAGTTCCAGTGTAGAATTAACAAACTCCATTAAACTCCATTGTGCCTATTCCCTGGCATTGGTGATATTTGAGAAGCCATTGGCCCAAGAACCTTGTAGACAGTGATATTCTGTTATTCCTGCTGTCCTATGGTGGCAATAATCTATAGCACTAGAATAACAAGTAAAGGCCAAGCGCCCCAAAGCCCTGACTCCCTGTATGTCCAAGGGCTACCTCCCTTGTCTCAAATTCCCCAACAGAAGGGATAGTCAGTGGTGCTCCCTCTCAGCTCTGCTGTGAGACCACACTGGTGGTCTCATGCTCACATGAGAGCTCTGGAAAGAGTCTGACACCAGTCAGCATCTGCAGACATTACCTGTGTGACTTTCTTCTTCCTTCCTTCCTCCCATCTTCTCTGTCTTCCTCTTTTTCTTCTTTCTCTCCTCCTTTCTCTTTCTTTTCATTTCTTTCTCTTCTTTTCTGGTATCAGGGCTACAAGCTCTCAGCTTTTTCACTCACTGTTGGCACTCTCTTCTTCAGGATGAAATTGATTCTGCGGTGAAGATGTTATTGTCATTAAAAATGAGCTACAAAGCTGCCATGGGGGAAGATTACAAGGCTGACTGCCCTCCAGACAACAACCCATCCGCTGAAAGTAACAGTGGTCCAGATGCCACAGAAGCTGGAGAAGACTTTGTGGACCCCTGGACAGTACGGACAAGTAGTGCAAAAGGCATCGACTATGACAAGCTCATTGGTATGATTTTCTTCTCCAGGGCCATCCTAGACATTTAAAAATGATTCCATTGAGTTGATTCCATCAATGTTTATAAATTTATGTGTTTCCAAGTAATTTTTTTTAATTTAATTTTATTTTATTTGTGAACATACTGTACAGAGGGGTTACAATTACATGGGCAGGATAATGCGTACATTTCTTACCAAGCATTACAGCCTCCTCCTTTGTTTACCCTTCACATCCCTTCCCAGCTTCCCCCCAAGTAATTTTTTTTACAGTTTTAATTTCTATTTTTCAATGGCCTATGTTTTTTGTTTTTTGTTTTGTTTTGTTTTTTGATCGTGGGGCTTGAACTCGGCCTGCATGCTCTCCCTCAGCTCTTCAAGGCTAGTCCTCTACCACTTGAGCCACAGCACCACTTCTGGTTTTCTGAGTGGTTTATTGGAGATAAAAATCTCACAGACTTTCTTGCCTGAGCTGGCTTTGAACCATTTCAGCCTCCTAAGTAGCTAGGATTGTGGGCGTGAACCACCATGCCCAGCTGACCTATGATTTTTTTTTGGGGGGGGGGGGTCCGGTCATGGGGCCTGAACTCTGGGCCTGGGCACTGTCCCTCAGCCCTTCAGCTCAAGGCTAGCGCTCTACCACTTGAGCCATAGCACCACTTCCAGCTTTTTTTCCCTGCTTATGTGGTGCTGAGGAATCAAACCCAGGGCCTCATGCATGCAAGGCAAGCACTCTACCACTGAGCCACCTTCCCAGCCCCAGGCCTATGATTTTTATATATATTTATGGGACAATATCTTTTTCTTTTTCTTTTCCTTTTTTTTTTTTTTTTGCCTATCTTGGGGCTTGAACTCAGGGCCTGGACACTGTCCCTGAGCTGCTTTTACTCAAGGCTAGCACTGTACCACTTGAGCCACAGCGCCACTTCTGACGTTTTTTGTTTATGTGGTACTGAGGAATCGAACCCAGGGCTTCATGCAAGCTAGGCAAGCACTCTACCACTGAGCCTCCCAGCTGGATATTTTTTAATTTGAGCTTAATTATAAATGAAATGAAGTGTTGATGCCAGGGAAAAATTGATCCCAAAGCCCTTCAGTGTTGTCCATTGTATTTCCAAAAGATTATCTTAAAAGTAACAATTTCAAAATAGTAATATGTAGTAGGTAGCTTATCAAGCACTTAGACAAACACACACACACACACAATTTTAAGTCATTCAGAACTTGGGAAGAAGAGTCTAGTGAAATAGGCATCCTTGCCATCGTGCCCTTCCTTGTCGTTTCCCTGTTTGTTCTGTTGAGAGGATACTCTAGGATCATAGATAATTGTCAGACAAGAAACAACTACAATGTTTTCATCTAACTCATGACCAGTATAGCCCATCAATGAGGAACAGTTTGCTTGAGGACAGACATGAACTTAGACCAAGGACTAAGAAATGTGGGAAGTCACAGTTATCAGTGATACAAGCTGTACCCAAGTGAACAGCTGTGTGTACATGTTTGCATGACTGCCTTTATGTGGTTGTTTCTCACCACACCAGAATCCAGTCTTTATTCCATAATTTGCTCCATTTTACTGACTGCAATTCCACTTGTTGTTGTTGTTGTTCTTGTTAGTTGTGGGGCTTGAACTCAGGGCCTGAGTGCCGTCCTTGAGCTTTTTTACTCAAGGCTAGCCCTCTACCACTTTGAGTCACAGTTTTACTTCTCATTTTTGAGTTGTTACTTAGAAATAAAAGTCTCAGCTGGACGCTGGTGGCTCATGCCTGTAATCCTAGCTACACAGAAGGCTGAAATCCAAGGATCGAGGTTCAAAAACAGCCTGGGCAGGTAAGTCTGTGAGACTTTTGTCTCCAATTAATCACCAGAAAACTTAAAGTGGCACTGTGGCTCAAAGAGTAGAGCGCTTGCCGTGAGCTGAAGAGCCCAGAGTTCAAGCCCCACGAACAACAACAACAAAAAACTGCAGTCCTCAGATCTCAGCCTCCTGAGTAGCTAGGATTACAGATGTGAGCCACCAGCACCTGGAAGCTTTTTATTTTTTAATCCCAGTACTAGAGCTTGAACTCAGGGCCTGGGCACTCGCCCTTAACTTGTTTGCTCAAGGCTAGCTCTACCACTTGAGCTACAACTCCACTTCCAGCTTTTTGCTCACGGACTTTTGCCTGGGCTAGCTTTTGAGCCATGATCCTCAGAACTCAGCTTCCTGAGTGGCTAGGATTACAGATGCCACCAGAGCCCAGCACCAGCTGTTGTTTCAGTACAAAGAACTATGTACTTTGTGTGAGGGAGTGGATGACCATCAGCTAAAAGCCTGAAGAGAGGGGTCACTAAGATTGTATATGGTGGAGCTAGGAAGGTGGCTCAGTGGTAGAGTGCTTGCCTTGCATGCCTGAGGCCCTGGGTTCAATTCCTCAGCACCACATAAGCAAAAAGTAAAAAGCCGGAAGTGGCGCTATGGCTCAAGTGGTAGAGCACTAGCCTTGAGCTGAAGAGCTGAGGGACAGCGCCCAGGCCTAGAGTTCAGGCCCCACAACCGGACCCAAAAAAAAAAAAAAAAAGATTGTATATGGACCATTTGTTTTTCTCCTTCATTTCTGTAATATCTGCTCACTAAGCCTCTTGCTGCCTTGTTTCCCTTCCTCCCTCCCCCCCCCCCCAGTTCAGTTCGGCAGCAGTAAAATTGACAAGGAGCTGATAAACCGAATTGAGAGAGCCACGGGCCAGAGACCACACCACTTCCTGCGCAGAGGCATCTTCTTCTCACACAGGTTGGGACCCTACCTCTACTTTGAGTTCACAAAGTACATGGACAAAGTGCATCCAGACTGCTAGCAGCCTGCGACCCCATTCTGTGCTGTCAGTAACTCCTGAAGGGACTGACCCTTCACTGTCAGACCTGGTTTCTATTCATTGGTTAACTACCCACCTCACAGAGCAGAGTGAGATTCAATTGTGGCTGATTGTATGCTGTAAATTACAAACTCTCATGAAAACAAAAAGTTCTGTATTTCTCATGCAATAAATAATCAGCTTCCCGAAATTAAATACCTTCTTCCTGCTATTGTACTGGCCTGCTCTTGAATGATATCGAAAGAGAAAGCAGCAGGGCCATAAAGAACCCCTGCCTTCGAACAGAAATTCCACACAGAAAGCATCAAGGCCTGGACATTTTCCAAAAGAGTTTTGGCCTCTCCCACTTCCTGATTGTAGGGTTGGGTCAGGCTCTAGCCTTTGTTTATGGAATGTATGATCTGAGGTCAGATTGTTCTGTTCTGCGTGTTTATCATGGTCACAGGAGAGCACCCAGGACAGAATCCAGCTTTCTACCTGCAGAAAACTCTCAGCCCTGCTCCGTCGACTTCGTGGGCAGATTATAATCAGTCTTTTCCTTAACTGAGATTTAATTCATGTATCATCAAATTCACTTGTTTTAAGTATACAGTTCTGTGATTTTTGGTTAGTTCATAAGGCATACAGTCCTAATTTTAGAACATCTTCATTACCCAAAAAAACTCATACTTAAAGATGGGTGCTGGTGGCTCATACCTGTTAATCCTAGCTACTCAGGAGGCTGAGATCTGAGGATCACAGTTCAAAGCCAGCCAAGGGCAGGAAAGTTCGTGAGACTCTTATTTCAAATAAACTACTGAAAAAGGCCAGAAGTGCTGCTGTGGCTTAAGTGATAGAGCACTCGCCTTGAGCAAAAGAAGCTCAGAGACAAAGCCCAGGACCAGGAAAATGGGAAAAAACAAAACCTCTATCCCATTAGTAGTCATTTCCCATTTCCTCCCCTCCCAGCACCAGAAACCACCAGTGTGCCTTCTGTCTCTGGATTTGTCTGTTCTGGGAATTTCATAAAAACGGTCTGATAAGCCATCTGCCTTCTGTTTCTTTCCTTTTATTTCACATGTTTTCAGGATTCCTCCTTGGGCTGGAAAGGTGGCTCAGTGGTAGAGTGCTTGCCTTGCATGCATGAAGCCCTGGGTTTGATTCCTCAGCACCACATAGCAGAAAAAGCCGGAAGTGGCACTGTGGCTCAAATGGTAGAGTACTAGCCTTGAGCTGAAGAGCTGAGGGACAGTGCCCAGGCCCAGAGTTCAGTCCCCACGACCAACAAAAAAAAAAAAAAAAAAAAGATTCCTCCTTGTAGTATGTATTGGTGCAGATGCCCCTCAGCAGATGATGAGGTTCTATCTTAATAAATTCATTTTGTTGTGTGAGGGTGAGAGGATTTGAGACTGGGTCTCACTGTATAGCCCAGGCAGGCCTTGAACTCACAATCCTCCTTCCTCAGCCTTCTGAGTCCTAGGATTATGGCCTGTGCCACCATAACCACTTCTTGCTCTTTTCACTGTGGAAGTTTTTTGCATGTTAGTTGTTAGTGATCTTTTATTACTGTTTGGTTGTTAAAAGATCCATTCAGATTTGTTTCTTCTTGGTCAGTTTCTCTGGGAATGTTTGTGTTTCACTATGGTTCTGTGGTTCTCTATTTGTTGTCCTGCAGTGTTCCTAGTATTCTCGAGCCATCTTTTTACTCCCATGGGTCAGTAGCTGTGTCCTTTTTGATTATTTGTGTTACCCACTTATTGTGGCTAACAAGATTTGCCTTTCATTGATCTTAAGCAAAGCTTTTCTCCTGGCATTCTGCAGTTCTCTCTCCCCTTGCACCGTTGTTTCCTTCTATGTCATAGTCCTGAGGGCTCTCAGATCAGGAAAGTAGAGGACTAGAGGCATTTGTGCATTCTCAACTTGAAAATGCCCTGAACCTCATGGAATACCTGGGAAACTGAGGGTTAAGTGAAGAGCATCCATAGTCTTAGCAGCCCAGATACCAGCCCTCTGTCCCATGGCTTCAGCACTGGAGGAGGCCCTGGTAGAATGTTGTTATCAGGTGCTCTTGCTCAGGCCTCTAAAAATGGTTGCTGTGAGCTGGGAAGGTGGCTCAGTGGTAGAGCGCTTGCCTTGCATGCATGAGGCCCTGGGTTCGATTCCTCATCACCACATAAGCAAAAAGAAAAAAAGCCAGAAGTGGTGCTGTGACTCAAATGGTAGAGCACTAGCCTTGAGCTGAAGAGCTGAGGGACAGCACCCAGGCCCAGAGTTCAGGCCCCACGACCGGACCCCAAAAAAATATCGCTGTGGTTATTCTAAAAATGGTTGCTGTTCCTCTTTCTTTTTTCTTTTTTCCCCAAGGATTTTTTTTTCTTTTGTCATAGGTCTTGAACTCAAGGCCTAGGCACCGTCTCTGTGCTTTTTCACTCAAGGCTAGCACTGTACCACTTTGAGCCATAGTGCCACTTCTGATTTTCTAGTGGTTAATTAGAGATAAGAGTCTCACAGACTTTCCTAACCAGGCTAGCTAGCTTCAAGTCACAATCCTCTGATCTCAGCCTCCTGAGTAGCTAGGATTATAGGCATGAGCCACCAGCACCTAGCTTCTGTTCCTCTCTTATTTGGAACACTTTGTCCCGAAACAAAGAACATGTACACCAAGAGTATTGGTTGACCTCATAGCTTGCTAAGCAGAAGCCCTCAGGAAGCTCATTTAATGTTCAAATTCATCTGAGTGTGGTGGCACACATGCACGCACTCACACACACACACATGCACTAGGGAGGCTGAAATAGAAAGATTGAGAGCTCACAGCCAGCATAGGCTATATAGCCAAACCCTGCCTCAAAACAAAACCAAGCAAGATGTATATTCCCAAGTATCACCTCAGATTTCAGGATCTCCAGACAGAGGCCCAGCAGCTCTAATGCATACTGCTAACGCTTAGCCAACAAGAAGGCCCTTTATGTGTTTCCCAAAGGAGGAAGGTGGACTCCCAAATGGCTCATAGATAAAGACCCCAAGTCTCAAGTTGGTTGAGGTCCGATACTCAGATGGGGACATGAACAGCCTTTCCTCCCCCAGCTCAAGCCTGCATGGAACCCTGTAGTTTCCTTTGCTGGGTTTCCAGAGCCTCAAGACTGGATTGTGTGCCCCTAACCTTCCTTCAGAAGGTGTACAAATCACACAGTAGAAATGCCCACATCAAAGCTGGAGTGAGTTTCAGAGTCCCTGTGTCCACCCCGCTTATATCCATCTTTTGGATCCTTTATTCCAAACCTGCATGTCTTTTTCAAACAACTCTTCCCAGCAAAAACCATTCTGGTTAATTTCCTGTCATTATTATACTGTAACACCAAAGATAACTAACTATAGCTATTAATACTGTTTTGTCCCTGTTTTATTTTTCATTTCCAAATGAACTTTAGGACTTTGATACGTATTTCCTGATTCCTTTTTCCCATTAGGGATATGAATCAAGTCCTTGATGCCTATGAAAATAAGAAGCCATTTTATCTGTACACGGGCAGGGGCCCCTCTTCTGAAGCAATGCATGTTGGTCATCTCATCCCATTTATTTTCACAAAGTAAGTATTGAATCTTTTGACTTTTGTCCATTTGCTAGTGAATCACCATTAGTACTTACAGGCTATCTTTTGAACATAGCTGGCCAAAAGAGGCTATTTCCTGTTTACCAAGTGGCCAGGATGTCAGGACACTGACACTTTATGGCCTCTGTTTCTGAGACACTGCAGGAAAGTGGTGCATGATGGGAGATCACCGTTTTGGCGTCAGCCATGCTACCTTCCCCCTCCCTTGCCTGTTCAGGTGGTCCTCTACTCACTATAGCTCTGAGGCTGATGTCACATGTGCTCAATGGGAAGAGGGCTCCTACCTTGGAAAGTTAGGGAAAGGCTCTAAAGTAAAGTTGTGGAATCAGTTGGCACATAATTGGTATGTGCTGGTAAATTTTATCACTATCCCCAGTCAGTTGTATTAAAATACATCATGTGATTTTGTAGGCAAGCAGTTAGTAGGATCTGCATCTTTACACAAAGTGGTATTCTTCCATATGATAAAGTGTCTATGTTCCTCCATCTTCCTGTGCTCCTTAGGTGGCCACTGGACACGTTCACAATGGCGAAAGGCATCGAGTTCACTATGGCTCAGCATGCCGTTTGTTTTGCTATGTTCTCTAGATGGCTGCAAGACATGCTCAATATGGCCACAGCATGGGCTCACTGTGCTATGTTCTCTTGTGTTCCTTAGGTGGCTGCAGGATGTATTCAATGTGCCCTTGGTTGTCCAGATGTCTGATGATGAGAAGTACCTGTGGAAGGACCTGACGCTGGACCAGGCATACAGCTACACTCTGGAGAATGCCAAGGACATCATCGCCTGTGGCTTTGATGTCAACAAAACTTTCATCTTTTCTGACCTGGAATATATGGGGTAAGGAGGAATAATGCCTGGCTGCCTTTTGTTTGTGGTTTTTTTGCCAGTCTTAGGGCTTGAACTCAGGGCCTGGGCACTGTCCCTGAGCTTCATTTGTTCAAGGCTAGCACTCTACCACTTGGGCCACAGCACCACTTCCAGCTTTTTCTGTTTACATGGTACTGAGGAATTGAACCCAGGGCTTCATACATGCGAGGCAAGCACTCTACCACTAGGCCACATTCCCAGCCCCCAGCTGCCTTTTAAAAAAATAGATGCAGACATCGTATCGTCAGGACCTCAGTGAAATATAACATGTCCAGAATGGGAGTAAATACTTTTCTTCCTCTTTTAAACATTAAGATCTTGTTTATTGGTCTTATTTACCAATAATTTGGAAAGTGGAAATCTGAGTGCCTGCAGAGAAGCTGTTAAGTAACGCCAGACGCAGCTGCCTTTATCATTACACTGGCAGAAATATAAAATGTGTGCCTAGCCCACCAGGTGGTATCTGATATGGTCTTCCTCCACTATTCAGGAATCTCTGTTGCCCGATTGTTTCTCTCCAGGATCAGGCAGTCCATAGATCTCTGCTGTCTTTTCACTCAGCATAACTTCCTCACAGAAGAAAGGTTCATCATATGCACAGTTCCATCACAGTCTAGTTTAAATCAGCCACTTAATGCTCAACATATTTCATTCTGAAACATCTATGAATTTAAGCTGCTCCAATCTTGAGATTCATCCAAAATTATTACTAACTAGTGTTTCAGTAAAATAAGACTTAGAACAGGCGTAGTGAGCAGCCTGCAACCCTATATAGAAGACAGAGGTTGGGAATTGCACTTCAAAGCCAACTCAGGCAAAAAGAATTGTGAAACTCGTATCTCAACCAATGGCTCAGCTCCAGCAACACTAGGAAGTACAAGTGAGAGGATCATAGCTCATGCTGGCCCGAGCATAAAGTGAGACCCTACCTAGGAGATAACCAACACAAAAAGCGCTGGTGAAGTGGCTCAGTGGTAATAGGGTGCCGGCATAGCAAGCTTGAAGTCCTGAGTTAATCCTCAGCATCACCAAAATAAGGGAAGAAAAATAAGACCTTGATCCAGGTATGGAGGCACACACTTGTCATTCCAGCTACATGGGAGGCTAAAATCAAGAGGATTACAGGTTGAGGCTAGCCCTAGGGGGAAAAAAAGTCAGCCACCGTGGCCATCCTGTAGGGCCGGGAAACCATCTAAGCCTAGCACACTCTTCTGTCCTCCCATGCACTCCACCAGCTGCCAGGCACACACGAGTGGGGTGGGAGCACCGCCCGGCCCTCTGCCAAAGCCCCGGGGACTCCTGCCCCTGCTGCTCTGGATGCTGCCCCACATAGCACTTGAGCCTGCGGGTCTTTGCTCTTTCCATGCCAGCCCCAGCCTCTGCTTCTGGCTCTGTTCAAGTCTCATCCTAAGTCTCTTTCAGGTTGGCTACTGTCTGCCTTTCTTGTTAGCTCCCCAGATATGGCTGCTGCCAAAACCTGCCTGCAGGTGGCTTCTTCATACCTTTTTTGTCATGGGGCTTGAACTCAGAGCTTGGGCCCTGACCCTGAACTCTTGCTCATGGCTAGCACTCTACCACTTTGAGCCACAGCTCCACTTCTAGTTTTCTGGCAATTAATTGAGATAAGAGTCTCATGCCCAGGCTGGCTTCAAATTGTGATCCTCAGATCTCAGCCTCCTGAGTAGCTAGGATTATAGGTGGGTGCCTACCTCTATGGCCTCATGCCTCATCCCCATCCAGGTTTGGGGTTTTGGTGGTTTGTTTGTTTATTTGCATGTGTGCTTGCTTGAAGTCATTTTTCAAATAGAGTCTCACATTTTTGCCTGGACTCAGACTCAGACCATAATCCTCCTTCTTTTGTCTTAGATTAGGATTACAGGTTCATACCACCACACTTAGTTTGTTGTTGATGGGGTCTTGCTAACTTTTTTCCTAGGCTCACCTGAAACCATAGTCCTCCCAATCTGCCTCTGAGTAGCTGGGGCTACAGACTGGCACCATTGTGCCCAGCTCTATATCTGGTTTTCATAGCTGTTACCTTGTCCTCATAGAGGTCACCCTCTACCTAGAGTTTCTTGTCTCTACAGGCAGAGCCCAGGCTTCTATAAGAATGTGGTGAAGATTCAGAAGCACGTCACCTTCAACCAAGTGAAAGGAATTTTCGGCTTCACGGACAGCGACTGCATTGGTGAGGGCCAGCTGCTGCCTGGGGACCCCTCTCCAGCAAGATGAGCATGGGCTTGGGCTGCTCCCTGTGGAGCAGAGCAGAGAGCTGGGTAGTCATTGCCCCAGGTAGAACCCAGGGCCTCAGGAGTGTTTGGTAAGGGCTCTACCCCTGAGTCCCACCCCAGCTGAGTCTTTAAAGTACCTGTTCCCAGAAGTTGAGTTGTCTGGGAGAAGTTAGCATTTGCAGTATACCTATTTAAATAAGAGTCCCAGAGAAGACTTTCCCCAGAATGTAAATGGTTAGTTAGAGTTGAGTCACTTCCCTGGGCTTCTGAAACTAAAGTTGTGAGTTGAAAGATTGCCTCAGGCAGTTTTAATACAAGGTTTTTGGAGAAAGAAGGAAAGGCTGAGGTAGAGTTTCTCCACCTGCAGATGCTGCTCTGTCCCCTGGGGCTCAGTGGAGGGCAGGGAGCTCTGCTGCTCACTACTGGAGCTACCAAGTTTTTGCCTCCTAGACCCTCATTCTCCCTACCTGTGAGCTAAGGCCTTGGCTGGCTGCCCTCCAAAGCCTTTCCCACCCCTCCTCACTTTCCTTCCAGACTTGCCTTCTGTGGCTCTGCCCCCACTGAAGTACACAGTGTTGAAGAGTGAGGTGTTCATCTGCTAGGTGGACAAGTTTACATTCCCCTCCATACAAGACAGCTTGTAGGCTCTTACTTCCTTGAGACTTACGTCTGGGCCTTTTCTCTGTCTCTCTTCTTTGTGACACTAGGGTTGAACTCAGGTCCTCATGCTTACTAGGCAGTTATTCTAACACTTGAGCCACTTTTGCTTTAATTATTTTTGAATAAGACTCGTGATTTTTCCCAGGCTGGCCTCAGACCATGATCTTAAACTTCCCATGTAGTAGAGGTGACAGGTATGTACCACCACACCCAGCTTATTGGTTGAGATAGGTTCTTGATAATGTTTTTGTCTAAACTAGCCTCAAACTGTGATTCTCCCAGACTCTATGTCCCAACTAACTAGGATCAGAGTTATGAGCCACCATGCCCAGCTATGACTGGGCCTTCTGATCTTCCCTTCTCTCCTCTCCTGCTTTTCATCTGTGATTCAGTCAGATTCATTCTAGCAATTGGAACATAAACCCTGTGTCTTTGAAAGCATCTAGTTGGGCCACATCACAGTGAGCTTCATTGAGGACAAGCCTGAGACCTGGGTTTGAATCCTGGCTCAGTCACTTGCCCGATGCATGCCAAGTTGTCAAGCAACATAATCTGAGCCTGACCGCACACGTTTGTACGTTTGAACAAGGAGCTTCTCCCTAGAGCTGTGAGGAATAAAGAGCTCCGGGAAGCCCTTGAGTGCAGAGCCTTAGACCGAGAGCCTGGAAAAGGCCACCACTGCCCTGAACCTTCCACGCTGGTGCTGGGGGCCTAGGCAGCTCCTGCCTGGTCTTGGCACAGTTGAGAATCCTAGAAACTAGATGTCTCTTCTGAAGTGGTACAAAACACTGTCAGAGAACAATACCCAATGATTGAGTTTAATGATGTTAAAGGACTTCGTTTTTTACTCTAGAATCAGGCAGTATTTCATTTCACAGTACAGGATGAATGTGCAGGTGATCAGACAAGAGGAGCTTAGTTTTATAGACGAAAGGGCTTCAAGGGATCAGAAACACACCTGTAATCTCAGCTACTTAGGAGGCAGAACTTGAAAGGATTAGAGTTCAAGGCCAGTTGACCACCAATAGCTGTGCATGGTAGTGCATACCTGGGTATGCCCAGATAGATCAAAGTCTAGGCCATTCCAGGCATAAACAGGAACTCTAACCCAAAATAGCTAAAGCAAAAAGAACTGGTGGCACAACTGAAATGGTGTAGCACCGGCCTAGCAAGTGCAAGGGCCCAAGTTCTGCCTAGCTGCCTCAAAGCCCTGAGTTCAACCCCAGTCCCACCAGGAGGAAAAATCAGAAACAAGCTGGGTATGGCAGTGCTCTCCCATAACTGCAGCTATCCAGGAGGCACAGGCAGGAGGAGGGAGAATTTGAGGTCAGCCAGTGCCAAGTTAGTGAGCTTTTGTCTCAAAAATGAAATAAATAAAAAGGACAGGGGTATAGCTCAGGTGGCAGATACACCAAGCACAAGACCCTGGGTTTAATCTCTGTTGCTTTGAAAAAGAAGAAAAGGAACCTGAGCGGCTGGGAAGGTGGCTCAGTGGTAGAGCACTTGCCTTGCATGCATGAGGCCCTGGGTTCCATTCCTCAGCACCACATAAGCAAAAAGAAAAAAGCCGGAAGTGGCGCTGTGGCTCCAGTGGTAGAGCGCTAGCCTTGAGATGAAGAGCTGAGGGACAGCGCCCAGGCCCAGAGTTCAGGCCCCACGACCGGACCCAAAAAAAAAAAAGGGGGGGAGAGGGGGAACCTGAACAACAAAAAAAAATCATTGTAGTTAGTGTCCTAATCGGACATAGTCTCCGTTGGGAGACTGAGGCAGGGGGATTCTAAATACAAAGCAAGCCTAAGCTACAGATGGAGTCCTGTCTCAAAAATAAAAAGCTGGAATACCCAGTCAGAACAGCTCAATAGCCAGAACTGATACATTGTTTAGTGACAGCTTGGGAGGGGACTGGAATATGGCCCACCTGTTTAAGGCCCTGAGTTCAAACCCTACTACCACCAAAATAAACAAGTGTGTAAATATTACCAAGTAAAAGGGCAGAGAAATACCAGTTGTTATTGCAGCCAAAGTACATAAAGGGAAATGTAGAGAGCAAACACGTACAAATCTGGGCTCCTGATTTTATTTTATTTTTTTTTTTTTACTTTTTTTTTTTTTGCCAGTCCTGGAGTTTAAACTCAGGGCCTGGGCACTGTCCCTGAGGGTTTTTTGCTCAAAGCTAGCACTCTGCCACTGAGCCACAGTGCCATTTTCAGCTTTTTCTGTTTATGTGGTACTGAGGAATCAAACCAAGCGTTTTATGCATGCTAGGCAAGCACTCTACCACTAAGACACATTTCCAGCCCTGGGCACCTGATTTTTCTCTCCCTTTCTGTATTTTCAGTTTTTCTCTAATACTCCTTTTGCAACAGGGAAAGACCTTTTCTTGCCCATTCTTTTCAGTGGGCTAATTATTTGAGAACAGCAGGTGGCCTTGTATGTGAAACCATTTTTCCTTCCTTTCAGGGAAGATCAGTTTTCCTGCGGTCCAGGCCGCTCCCTCCTTCAGCAACTCATTCCCCCAGATCTTCCGAGACCGGGCGGACATCCAGTGCCTCATCCCCTGTGCCATTGACCAGGTCTGGACTAGAACTGGGGCTGGCAACAGCTTTGCCGGACTCCATCAGTAAGGGAGAGGGGTGTAGTGCTGGAGGGAGAGGGGAACCTGAGAGTTTCCTCCAAAATCCTCTGGAGCCGCTCACTGGCCAAAGCGGCCCTGATTCAGTAGTATCCTCATTAAGGCTCTCCTCCCCACAGGACCCTTACTTTAGGATGACAAGGGACGTCGCCCCCAGGATCAACTATCCTAAACCAGCACTGCTGCATTCGACCTTCTTCCCAGCCCTGCAGGGTGCCCAGACCAAGATGAGTGCCAGCGACCCCAACTCTTCCATCTTCCTCACTGACACTGCCAAGCAGATCAAGACCAAGGTAAGCAGTCTTCACCCACAGGAGCAGATGTCTGTGTGGACACGTGTGTGCACCTATACACACACACATTCACCAGTGCTCTGGTCCACAGCTAGCAGCCAGGTTCCCACACCGTGGATGAATGTGAGACCTGAGGTAGTAGAGATGATTTATTTCACTGTTAATACTCCATTTTGTTAGGGTAAAAATCTGAAGTTTTTATTTTCTTTTGTACTAACGCTTTGTTTTGGAAGCAAAGCCCTGGCAATTTCCTTAGTCATAATTAATGACGATGTGCTCAGGCAATAGAAATGCCACCAGTGCCCGCCTCAGCTCTCACTCTGGTGCCTCATGCCTATAGTCCTCGCTACTCAGGAGGCTAAGAACTAGAGGATTACAGTTCAAAGCCAGCACAGGCAGAAGTCTGTGAGACTCCATTTCCAATTAACTAGCAAAAATGGATTGGAGGCATGGCTCAAGTGATAGAACACCCACCATAAGCCAGTAGGCCAGTGAATATGAGGCCCTGCGTTTAAATTCTGGTAACAGCCCAAAAAAACCAACACTGAAAGGATTTGCCTCTGTGTCTGAGAACCAGACACCTGGTAAAGTGCCTTGCTTGTGTTTTCTGTTCTTCATTCTTCCTCCTGGTACCTGGTGGTGCTATTGCCTCTGCTGTGAAGCTGAGGGGAATTATCATCTTGGCCTAGTTTGCACCAGAAACTCAGAGCGCATATGTCTGGCAAGAGCAGCCCTTGCTGAGGCCAGGCCTCTGTTCTCCAGAGAGAACTGTCTTTTGGGGACAGCATGAGCCACCAGTGTCTCTGCACCCTGCTGAGTGTACCTCAGACGCTTGGTAGATAATTGCAAGTCACTAGGAAAGCTAGACATAAAGATTAGCTTTTCTTTCATTATTTTTCAGGGCCTGCTCTGTGGTTAAGTGCTGAGCGGCTAGCATACACGTAACTCTTAATGGTTGCATAAATCTGTATAACTACTGATGTCGCCTTTGGCTCCTACTATGTGTTTGTGCTTTGGAAGATTGCAGAAGGTGCATCTAAGACAAGTAATAGAGCCATCTGAGAGTCACCACCCATCTCCAGCCCTTCTGGAAAGTCCCAAACAAGTTCTGGTTGACAATGGGGGCTTTTTATAACCCAGACCTTCAGAAAGTGGCCTCCACTGCTCTTCCCCTGGCTTGGGAGCTGGTGTAATCGGGGATTTTTCTTTCTCTTTCACTTTTGGCTGAACCTTCCAGAGCAGGAAGTACTAGAGGGGAGAGGGACTTGCCAGCAGAGAAGTTGCTATATGTTTGAGAAGGTTTTTGTTCCTGTTTTGAGGTACTAGGATTTAAATTCCATGCCTCAAGCCTGCTCAGCTTGCTTGCTTAACAGGCAATCTACCACTCAAGCCACAACTGCCTGGATTGTTTTGTAAAGTTATCTATACCCCAGGAGCATTTGCTTAGTACCAGCAGGAGCCTTGGAATTTCCAACCAACCAGCTATGAACCAGAATTCCTGCAGCCCCTTCTCAGGTTTGAACTCAGGGAAACCTGTTCATCTTCTTGCTGTGGAGAACAGCCAGGTGGGGAGGTGACCAGGGCAGAGCAGTGCATAGGCCGAACTCCATGCATTCTGTTTTTTGTTTTTTGGGGGTTATTTTGGTCAGTCTTCAGGCCTGAACTCTGAGCCTGGGGCACTTACCCTCAGCTCTTCAGCTCAAGGCTAGCATTCTGCCACTTGAGCTACAGCGCCACTTCTGGCTTTTTCTGCTTATGTGGTGCTGAGGAATCGAGCCCAGAGCCTCATGCATGCGAGGCAAGCACTCTACCACTGAGCCACCTTCCCAGCCCTGCTCCATGCATTCTGGACAAGAACTTTTATGTTTAGAGTAGCAAAGAAACACAACCCACAGCCGGGCGCCGGTGGCTCACGCCTGTAATCCTAGCTACTCAGGAGGCTGAGATCTGAGGATCGTGGTTCAAAGCCAGCCCAGGCAGGAAAGTCCGTGAGACTCTTATCTCCAATAAACCACTAGAAAACCGGAAATGGCACTGTGGCTCAAGCGGTAGAGCGCTCACCTTGAGCTGAAGAGTGCAGGGACAGCGCCCAAGCCCAGAGATCAAGCCCCACGACTGACCAAAAAAAAAAAAAGAAACACAACACACATCTAGGAGTTGTTTTGTTTTGGACATTTTTCTAAGACAGTCTCTCCCAAAGAAGCCCAGACCAGCATGGAATTTGCTATCATCATGTCTCAGCCTCCTGAATGCAAGGATTGTAGGCATGCACCACAGCACCCAGCTCCAGGAGTTTTTACTTAGAGACCTTAGTCTCCAGCTCCCCAACCCTCCTTAGGTAGTGAGTGAGGCAGGGTTTCCAGACCTCTACGCTCATCACCTGGTCTTCCTGAGGCAGTGTAGGTGCCCCAACAGTTACCTCATTCATAGCAACTCAGGTGGGATCAAAAAGGCTGGAAAATGGGTACCAGTGGCTCACACCTGTAATCCTAGCTGCCTAGGAGACTTAGATATGAAGATTGTGGTTCAAAGCCAGCCCAAGCAGAAAAGTTCGAGAGACTCTTATCTCTTAATTAACCAGCAAGAAGCCAGAAGTGGAGATATGGCTCATCAATAGAGTACCAGCAAAGAGTGCAGAGCTCTTGAGTTCAAGCCCCAGTGCTGGCACAAAACAAAAAGGGGGCTTGAAACAAGCCACTCCTACCACTCAGGAGGGTCCTCAGGCCTAAGGAACTCGATACTAGACAAAATATTCAGGCAAAGCTTCCCATCTCTCAGAAAGACACCTGGGCTGCCAGGCATTGTGTAGGGAATGGGAAGTCACGCTGGCTTCACCACCTGGAGACAGGGCTTGCATGAGCTTAAAGTTTAAGTTTGAAAAGTGACAGGTAGGCAGTGTGCACTGCAAGCTAAAATGCTCCTCTTCTGGGCTGCCACGTTGGGCCTTCCACGGCAGTGGTTTTAAAGGCAGAGCCCTCTGCAGAACATATGTTGCTCACTTGTGATGACTGTCTCTCCCAGAGGGTCAGGAGTCCAGGCTGGCTCCCCTGTCTAGGCACACAGACACTGATTTGGGTGTGTGTCTCCCTCATCTACCATCTTTGTTCCTGCTAGCATCATTCTGAATCCCAGCACCTAGCCTGCTCCACCCATCTGTCCCAAGTCCATTTCCCCTCTGTTTCCTGTGAGTCAGGCCCTCAGTCCCCACCAGCACCCATGGCTCTCTAGCACCACCAGGAGCCTGGAAGATAGCACTCATAGCTTTTGTGTATGTGTACGTGTGTGCTAAGGCTTGAACTCGGGGCCTCAGCACCATCCCTAAACATTTGTGCTCAAGACTAGTGCTCTACCACTTTGATGCACAGCAACATTCCCAGCTTTTTGGTAATTAATTGGAGATAAGAATCTCACAGAGCCTAATTGGAGATAAGAATTTCACAGATCCGGGTGCCAGTGGCTCATGCCTGTAATTCTAGCTACTCGGGAAGCTGAGATCTGAGGATTGCAGTTCAAAACCAGCCCAGCCAGAAACGTCCGTGAGACTCTGGGCCTAGGTGGTGTCCCTCAGCTGTTCAGTTCAAAGCCTAGTGCTCTACCACTTGAGCCACAGCGCCACTTCCAGCTTTATCTGCTTATGTGGTGCTGAGGAATTGAACCCAGGGCCTCATGCATTCAGGGCAAGAACTCTACCACTGAGCCACCTTCCCAGCCCCAAGTCTGTGAGACTCTTATCTCCAATAAGCCACCAGAAAATTGGAAGCAGTGTTATAGCTCAAGTAGTAGAACACTAGCCTTGAGCTGAACAGCTGAGGGACACCACCCAGGCCCAGAGTTCAAGCCCCACGACCAACCAAAAAAAAAAAAACTCACAGAGTTTCCTGCCCAGGTTGGCTTTGAACCGCATCTGTGATCTCAGCCTCCTTAGTAGCTAGGATTATAGGTATGAGTCACTGGGGCCCAACTCATGGCTCTTTAGCTCTACCAGGAGCCAGGAGGGCAGGGAGTGCCACCACTCCCTCCACATATAACAGGCTCTTGACACACTGTGCCTTACTCACTTTACTGGTAAGGAAGAAAGCAAAGTATGGGTCTCAGGGTTGATGGGGATAAGATGTTTGTCATGGCTGTGCTGCATGGGGCTCCAGGGGCAGGCACTCTGTGCTGTGCAGCCATGGCCGCCTCCCTCACATCCTGGCACCATGCTGTAGACTTTGGTCCTGGCTCCTTGTTTCATGGTACTAAATAATCCTCGGGCCTCACCATTCTAGGCAAGCCAGGCACTCTACCACTGAGCCACACTCTGGCCCCCTTTGGCATCCTAGAGCCTGCACCACATCCTCAGTCTTCCCTGACAGGGTGCCTTTCTCACATTCCAGCGCTGATTTCTTTTTTAGGGGTTGCTGGGGATTGAACCTACAGCCTCTGCCTTAGCTTTGTTCTTAAGGATAGTGAAGCAAACTTTCACTGTAGCCTTCCATCTTTCAGACCCACCACCACACCCAGCATGCTTTACCCACAGCTCAGCTTCAGCTCTCTCTGACTCATGGGTTAGTAGTACCCCAGAAAGGGAGCAGGGCCTTCAGCAAAGTCCTGAAGACTTTGTCCCTAGCGCTCATCTGCTGTGGCAAGAAGAGCGGAGGTGGTCACTTAGTAATCCACTCTGGGAGCTTTTTGGAAAACTTGCCAAGTAACTCAGAATGTACGAGTGTGAACACTACCTGCCCTTTCCTCCACTGAAAAACAAAATAGAAACAGGATGATATTTTTTTTTCAGGATGATATTTTTAAGTACTAGGTTTGCTTAATTTCTCCCAGGACCCATTCTTCAATGTTTCCTAAAACACATTTTGTTAGTTCCTGGGCTTGGGGTTTTTTTGTGTGTGTGCTAGTACTGGGCACTGTCCCTTAGCTTTTTCACTCAAAGCTCTACCACTTGAGCCACATCTCTACCTCTAGCTTTTTGCTGGTTAGAGATAAAAAGTCTCTTGGATTTGTGTGCCCCGGCTGGCTTGGCACATTGATCCTCAGATCTTAGCTCCTGAGTAGCTAGGCTTATAGACGTAAGCCATCAGCCTCGGGTTTCTTACTTCTTATTTTGTCTGTTTTGAGACATGGGCTGGTCTGGAACTCCTAGGCTCACCTTCCTGAGTGCTAGGACCAGAGGTATGTGGCTTCCTTGCCAGGCTCTACTGTGTTGGTTTCTGAGTTTTCTTCAGCCCCTGAAGAAACATTGAAGTAGAGACCTTCCCTTCCTGCCTCCTCCTACTGGCTGAGCTCTGCTCCCTTCGCTAGCCATGTTCTCAGGACTGTGGTGAGGCTGGGTGATTAGCCACTCTCTTTGCTCAACACTCTCCTGAAGGGTGCCTGTGGCTCACCCTTTTCATGAAGTTCATTATAGGAACGTTTCCGATGGTTCCTTAAATCTCTGCCCAGTCAGTGTTAGGTTTTAAATTGTCTGCCTATCATTCTAGCTGGTCAGGAGGCTCAGATCTGAGTGTTACAGTTCCAAGCCAGCCTGGGCAGGAAAGTCTCTGAGACTCTTATCTCTACTTAAGAACCAAAAAACTGGAAGTGGAGTTATCTCTCAAGTGGAAGAGTGCTAGCTTTGAGCACAAAAACCTCAAAGACAGTGTCTAAGCCCTGAGTTCAAGACCCAGGACTGACACACATACACACACACAAATACACCAAAAAAACCAAAAACCCTCTCCTCCTTTAAGGGGCATGGAAGCCAATCTTCCCTCCTCCCAGGCCCCTACTACCATGCCATGAGCCCTGCTGCTGTTTGACAGACCAGGCCTGGTGGAGGAAACAGTTGAGGCCCCCTACCAACTGCATCCTCTACATCTGCCCCTGAACCTAAGATGTCCGCATGGAGATGCCTGGCCACCGGCCTCCAGGTGCAGGAGGCAGGACTGATGAGTCTTTCTGCCCTGTACAGGTCAACAAGCATGCATTTTCCGGAGGAAGAGACACCGTGGAGGAACACAGGCAGTTTGGGGGCAATTGTGACGTGGATGTGTCTTTCATGTACCTGACCTTCTTCCTGGAGGATGACGACAAACTGGAACAGATCAGAAAGGTGAGGTGGGATCCTGGGCCTGGCCCTGGGCCTTGCATGTTGACTCAGCTTCTCAGTTGCTGCCTTCAAGACCAGGCATCCAGCTGAAGGAGGGTGAAAGAGCAGGAGGAGCTGGGCTGGTGGTGAGAGCCTGTGCCCCCAGCTTCTTAGGAGGCTGAGACAGGAGAATTGACTGAGCCCAGGGGTTCAAGGCTAGCACTTACATTCTTCAAACATGGGCCAAGAATCCCATGAAGAGATAGTTCACAAAAGAGGACATATATACTGCTATTTATTAACAAAATAAAAAGGTTTCAGCAAGGCACCTCATGCCCATAACCTTAGCTACTCAGGAGACTGAAATCTGAGGTCCATGGTTTGTAGCCAGCCGAGGCAGAAAAGTCCATGAGACTCTTATCTCTAATTAACCTGCAAAATGCCAGAAGTGGAGGTGTGGCTGAAGTGGTAGAGCACTAGTCTTAAGCAAAAAAGCTCAGGGACGGCACCCAATACCATGGGTTCAAGCCTCAGGACCGGCACCAAAAACTGAGTAGGAGTTCATCTTACACATTAAACGAGAAATGGAAGTTAAAGACACCAGCAGAGCTGGCGCAGCTCATGTTGCACTGGCTGTGCCTTGCTCTGGTGACTGAGCCAAATGCTTCTAGCACCCACATAGTGAGCAGCCTCCTGCCAATGGAACAAAGGCTGAGACAGTTCAGGGCCATCGCCTCAGGCTTTCCCCTGCTTAGAATCTTCTAAACAGTACACAATAAGAAATAACACGGAATAAGAAAAGGCCACAACCTATCCCCCCCCCCCCAAAAAAAAAAAGAAAAAAAAACCTCATAAGAAGCATTTGAAGCAGTAATAGCAAAAAGTTCAGACAGACTACAACCGAATAGAATTCTGATGGCAGTGCTGGTACAGTGTTGTGCTACTGTAATTCTAGCACTTGGGAGGCAGGGGTGGGTGGAGCACAAGGTCCAGGCCAGCCTGGGCTGCGTGGTAAAACCCTGTCTCAAAAAAAGAACTGCAGCTCCAGTAGGGTGCTGGTGGCTCAAGCCTGTAATCCTAATTACTCAGGAAGCTGAGATATGAGGGTCATGGTTCAAAGCCAGCCTGGGCAGGAAAATCCCTGAGACCCTTATGTCCAGGGCAGGCCACAGCTACTGGGCAGAGCCAACTCCTGACCATTTTAAAGAACATGGCATTGAGGCTAGGAAGGTGGCTCAGTGGTAGAACACTTGCCTTGCATGCATGAGGCCCTGGGTTCGATTCCTCAGCACCACATAAGCAGGAAAAAAAAAGCCAGAAGTGGTTCTATGGCTCAAGTGGTAGAGCACTAGCCTTGAGCTGAAGAGCTGAGGGACAGCGCCCAGGCCCAGCGTTCAGGCCCCACGACCAGACCAAAAAAAAAAAAAAAAAGACATGAAACATGTCATTTAAGGAACAGAAGCAATGACAGTAGCCCAGACTGTCTGGGGAGGGTGTGGCAAGGCCATGGAGCGGCCTCTCACAGCCTCCCACTCCTTGAAACAGGATTACACCAGTGGAGCCATGCTCACCGGCGAGCTCAAGAAGACGCTGATAGATGTCCTGCAGCCCCTCATCGCTGAGCACCAGGCCCGGCGCAAGGAGGTCACCGACGAGATGGTGAAAGAGTTCATGACGCCCCGGCCGCTGTCCTTCCATTTTCAGTAACACTTATTTTCTGTTTGCATATCACTATGCGTAATTCCTCTGTGATCCCAGCCCCACTGAATCACACTCCCGTAGGCTTCGGTCACGCAGTAATTGCTGGGCTGGGTCTATGAGCCCATGTGTGTCATGGATTCTGTTTGTCCCAATGATGTCTGTTTTTCCTGACTGTGAGCGAGCGCTGGGGGTGATCAGGTGCTTCTGGCATTGTGTGGTCAGATAGAAAACCCAGCTGTGAGTCTCTCCCACCAAGAGCCCAGGCTGAAGCCCCTGTGGCCCACAAAGCCTGTTTACCTGGGATCAGCCTAGGTTCCAGATAGACTCCCAACATCTACTCTGTAGAGAGATGTGTTCTAAGCCGGATGTGGTGGTTCGTGTCTATAATCCCAGCAGGAGACTGACTAGAAGATCAAGAGTTCCAGGCCAGCCTGGGCTCCCTAATAAAGTATTCTATATATGCATACGTGGAACCAAAATGTCATTGTTGTAAAACTTAAAAGTGAAAAATTCATGTCAGAAAGCTTAATAAGCAAACAGTGAGTTTCATCTCATGCACCCCCCAAAAATAAAATCAAATAGAATTGATAGCTTCTGCTTTATACTTGGCAAGAAACTACCTTGCTTTGGGCAGATACTTAGCACGTCTAAGGTTCTGGCTTCCATCCCCAGCATCACAAAGAAAAGACACCACCCGGCATCAACACTACTAGCCTGAGTCTTGTGGGGGAGACTTTCCAGTTGACTTAACATTCTAGGAATCACTAACTTCCCGCCAGACCCCGCCCTTCACGTCCAATCACCCTAGTGGCGCCCCCCACTCCAGCCTCTGAGTCGCTAAGGACACTCCGTTGCTTTTGCAGATCCTTTTGCTTTGACCCTTGACTGAAGTGGAAGTCAGCGCAGAGCAGTGCCCTGGTCTCGCCCTGGGCTGCTGGCTGTAGCTAGAGAGAAAAGCTCAGGTGGAGCCCTCCCCGCCCTGGCATTTTCCCTGTGTGTGGGCCACATCTAATCACGGGCCACGTGTAGTCTTGACCAAGCAGAAGCCATATCTCAGGGAAAGCCCCTGATCGAATTGACCGCTCTCTGAAGGCACAGGGTCCATTCTCAAGTGCTCTTCCCTCATGCTGCTCACGGGCAGAATAAACTTCCTGTGCTCCTGTCCGTGTGGCAGTGTCTGGGAAAGGCTGACCTGCTTGTGGTGGCCTTGCTGCGCCAGCCTGTGCTATGCCTGCTCCCCTCTGGATCACATGGGGAGGGAGGGACACGCGGGTGGCCCCACGGCTCAGAGGCTCCCAGGAGCCTGTTCTTTCAGGCTTGGCCCAAGTCCTTACCAGTCTCCTGGTGCTGGCTGTCTGGCTCAGTGGTTGCCTGGGGTTGTCTGGTTTTCAGGGGAGAGAGCCAGGTGTTCAGAGGTGCTGTGTGGCAAGGCACACAGGCACCAAGGCACACAGGGCTGGGCCCAGCCGCAGGGGCAGGTGGGAACTGACAGCTGAGGCCTCTGGAGCACAACCAGTCCAAGGCCTCTCGGTGACAGGATCATCAGTCCTCAATCTTAGGTGCGAAACCAAGTTCCCATCCTCGGATGGCCAGACCCCTGGTGCCCACTCCCCCCCGGCCCTCCCCTGGGCCGGTCCACTCACTGGCTGGTTGTGAAGAATCACCCACACCAGAGGCCTGCACATTGCCACGTGGCCCTGCCCAACTGATGTTTCTTGTAGTTCCACTGAGCCCAGGTCACAAGTGCAGACGTGCAGCACCAGTACCCACGGCAGCAGATACAGCCGGCATTCCCCACCCAGCCGCCGCAGCTGTGGGCAGTGCCTCAGCCTTTGCAAGAGAAGCCTCCCTCTCCTCACAGGAAAGGAGAGCAGTGGTCTCATGACCAGGTCCTAGGAACAGGGTCCGAGGCCACTAGGCAGGAGACTCACCCATAGCCAATGCCCGCCTGGGCAGAAGAGGGCTGTAGGTCTCTACACCACCACCACAGTCTGCTGAAAATCAGTGGTTTCTTTGCTTTTTTGGTCGGTCGTGGGGCCTGAATTCAGGGCCTGGATACTGTCCCTCAGCTCTTCAGCTCAAGGCTAGTGCTCTACCACTTGAGCCACAGCGCCACTTCCAGCTTTTTTTTTCTGCTTATGTGGTGCTGAGGAATCGAACCCAGGGCGTCGTGCATGCAAGGCAAGCGCTCTACCACTGAACCACCTTCCCAGCCCATCAGTGGTTTCTTGAAGCATCCTGAGAGAATCTACCCATCTGGGATGAGAAAAGGTTCGGCCAGCTACTGGGGTGCAGGTCAAGATCATTCAGAAAAGCGGCCTTCCTTGCTCTGACAGATATCACCTGTCCCACAGGGGCTGGGCAGCTTGGGGACAGCTCATCATCTAAGACAGCACTGAAGCAGTGACTCAGGCCTGCTCCAAGCCTCCAGCCCATAACTGCATTGTGAGACAGCCCTGGGCTACACTGCCTGCCCTTGCTCTGGCCCCTGATTCTGTGGCCTTGACTTTGTAGAGGCAGCCAGCCCCTCCCAGATCCTTCACTTCCTCATGAGTGGGAGCCGAGGCAGGCACCCATGGCTCAGGCCTGTAATCCTAGCTATTCAGAAAGCAGAGACCTGAGGATCGTAGTTCAGAGCCAGCCTGGGCAGAGAAATTTGTGAGACTCTTTTATTTCCAGTTAGCCACCAAAACACCAGACAAGTAGCCGTGGCACAAGTGGTAGAACACCCCTCTGGAGCTTAAAAGCCCCTGAATCCAGCCCCAGTGCTAGCAAACCCACACAAAAGCCCTAGTACTAGGAAACACGCACGCACATACACGCACACACACACACCCCTCTGGAGCTTAAAAGCCCCTGAATCCAGCCCCAGTGCTAGCAAACCCACACAAAAGCCCTAGTACTAGGAAACACACACACACACACCAGGAAAGAGTGGGAGCTAGTACTTAACACTGGAGTGTATAGAGAAAGTACAGGGTCCATTCCGGAAAGTTTGTGACAGCCCGGGACCGGGCTGGGCTGGGTGGGCCATCTGCTCAGCAGTGCAGGTTCAGGAGTTGAATCACCACCACTATCACCCCACTGTGGCCAAGGGTACAGCCAGTACCTCTCTTCCCAAAGTTAAAACAAGTGGCCTTGACCAATGTGGTCACAGCTCAGCACTGATACATTACTGAAACCTTTTAATAGCTAGTGCGCTCCTCCCAGCTATTGGGCCAGGGCATCCCAGTCTTGAACTCTGGGATAAACCTGGTGAATTCAAGCTTAAAAACTAAAAGAAACAGGGCACCAATGGCCTTACACCAGTGATCCTAGCCACTCAGGAGGCTGAAATGTGAGGAACACAGTTCGAAACCAGCCCAGGCTAAAAAGTCTGTGAGATTTTTGTCTCCAATTAACCATCAAAAAGCCACATGTAGCTGGGTGCCAGTGGCTCATGCCTGTAATCTTAGCCACTCAAGAGGCTGTGATCTGAGGATCACAGTTCAAAGCTAGACTGGTCAGCAAAGTCCTGAATTCTCTTATCTCCAATTAACCACCCAAAAGAAAAAAAGCCTTTACATGTCTTCTGCCCCTTTCGCTGGACTGTGACCCTGGAAGACAAGGCCAAGGCTGGCATCTGAGCAAGCGCAGTAAACACAGGCATCAGCCAGCTCCAGCAGAGGGCTGTTGTGTGCTGACCCCATGAGCACACACTGGACTTGCCAGCCCTGGCCCTGACGGCCTATCCCTGGAGGTCATATGGTCCAGGGAGAGGGCCTTGTCAGAGGCACAACCAGCCCCAGCTGCCCCTCACCACGCGTGGCATGCCCGTGGGCAGCTGGCTCCCCAGTCCACGCTGTTAGCTCACACAACCCAGCTGTGGCCCAGCCCCCCTCACCTACAGCCTCCAGGGGGTTTGTGTGGGGTGTAGTGAAGAGCAGGTCACAGGCAGGGTTCCCGTGGCCTGGGAGGCCAAGGCCGTGGTGCACCACTTGTATGATGGAGACACTGGCTAGGGCTTGGCCACCAGGAAGGGAGCTGCAGGCCCGTGGCCCACGCATCCCATGGTGACTGGGCAGGCGCACAGGTGGATAGATCGGCAGCCCACAGATGGCAGACAACACCACTGAGCACCATCAAACATTTTATTGACAACAGCTCCCACCAAGTTTTGGGGGGTGCCCACGTGGGACAGCGTATACTCGGGGAGAGTGAGGATATAAGCAGCCAGCAGGAATGGGGGTCCTGCCCCCACCACCACCTCAGGACTGAGGCTCAGGGTAGGAGCACCATCCTGGCAGTGAAGAAGCCAGGCCTGGAGCAGATGCCTCAGCCTCTTGTGACCCATGACCTTGCAGACAGCCAGGCAGCCCCTGGACCTTCTGGTCAGTAGCTGGACAGAACTCGCTGCAGGGAGACCCACTGTCCAGTGCCAGCCCTGTGGGGTCTCCACCCCGTCCACACGGTCCTTTGCCTCCTTTGGAAGCTGCTGGCAGGTCGCCACCTGCCCTTACGTGAGCAGGCCCCGCCTGAGCCTCAGCACAGCCTCGTAGGCAACGAAGACCACCATGTTGACGGGAAAGGCACGGCAGCAGTTGAGTGTCAGCCCCTTGAAGAGCACCCTGGGCCCCTCCTCCCGCACGCTGCTCACCACACAGTGCCAGAGGCCTCGGTAGCGCTGCTGGCCCTGCCCATCTGCCTGCAGGCGTGACTTGATCACGTCCATGGGCGTGGCCACGGCCCAGGCCAGGGCCCCTGCAAAGCCTCCAGCCACCAACACACCCAAGACATCTGCAGGAGAGACAACACACAGCCTGAGTGTGAGCACAACCTGGCCCGCACAGTCTACAAGAGGGGAAACTGAGGCTTCAGGGAGGGGATCATGGTAGCAGATCCTCTCAGCCTCATCCACCTTCCAGCTCAGACTCACCTGGCTCACTGCGGCCAGCGGGAGTGAGCCACTCGGAGAGGATGGCGTAGGAGAGGAAGTAGGTGGCGAAGGAGTGCCCTTCCCGAAGAAGCAGGGCCGAGCTGCCCTTGTAAAGGCCCCGGAGGCCCTCCTCACGGGCCACTGTGGCTAGGCAGTGCAGTGGTCCACGGTACTTGGGCTCAGACACCAGACATGCAGGGGGTGCAGGACACACAGGGGGAGCCGCTGAGGGCCACAAGGCCGAAGGCCGCCGCTGCTGGAGCTGCAGCTGCGTCTGCGTCTGCGTCTGCAGGCGGATCTTAGCCACCTCAGTGGGTGATGTCAGGAACACCTGCGGCACAGAAGAGGCAGCATGAGACCTGGCGGGCAGCTAGCTACCCCCACTGCCACACCTGACCTCCCGTCGCCTTGTGCCATCCAAGCCAAGATGCTACAGGGCAGCCCTAGGATGTGGTGGCACAGAGTTCAAAGCCAGCTTTGCCAGCCCAAGGTTAATGCCAGTGCCTTCAACAATCACGTCTCCCGTCACAGAAAACTGCATGATGCGTCCTCTGTGACTTAGATCAAGAATGCACCTACAATCCTAGCTACTTAAGAGGTTGAGATCTAAGGATCACAGTTCAAAGCCAGCCTAAGCAGGAAAGTCCGTGAGACTCATCTCCAATTAATCACA